ATTGTAAATACGCTCTAAATTAAATCTTTCGTTATTAATATCAGGAAGTAGTTAAATAAATATTGAATCCAAGTTGACAAGTAAAAATTTCAAATTTAAACTCAATTTTATACCCTAGAAATCTTGAAATGTTATGAAGACTAATTTATAGGAAGGCATTTAGGCTAGCAATAACGTTCATAAGGTGGCAATAATTCGGTTTATTTATCATAGTGAGCGCGGCTCTAGACTAGAAGTAGCTCTGCTCCAAGCAGGGAGAGGAGTCCCGTAGATTTATGCTCCCTTGAGTATCGTCGAGCAGGGAAAAAAATTTGTCGGCAGGGATGTCAGTGTGAAGCTTCCATGGCAACGCCATATGAAATGTTCTTTAGAACACGGTCGAAATTTGTACGTAGGTTTGAAAATTGAATATGGAGCTTTCTGGTGAAACCTTCGAGTCTTTGAAAGTAGCAGAAATTGTATCATCTTACAAATTAAGCAAATTCATTGTTAACTCTCAGCCAGCGCGTTATCTATGGTCGGAAAATCTGATGAACGGAGGAGAACTTTACAGAAAACGACGCTTGCACTTCTCATAGACGTATATATAGCTTATGTACATAGCTATACATAGCTCATATGTATAGCTTCAGGATGAACAAATATCATCGTAGCACCTTGAATATGGACCAAATCAACTCTAATTACGATTTTGGACTTGATACTTGGATGCTTTGAGGTAAAAACAAATTCTGGAAATGCTCCATTCCTAACAGCTGCGAAGAATATCCCATTTTTGGAAGGTGACTTGTGAATTGACCAACATATGAATTGAAATCATATTCATTTTCACCATTAATTTCTCAGAAAACACGATGATAATAATCTCTTTTTGCGCACAGTATATAAAATATCTTGCTCTTGTAACATTGCAATGGGACTTCGTGAGAAACAGAAGAAAAAGTAATTGTTTGCATGAATAGTTTTAAAATAAATTGGTGAAATTTTTTCAAAGAAATATATTATTTTTCCATTCGCAGTGCTGCAAGTAAAAACAAATTAACATTAAAGTAATTGCAACTCTAAGACGCATTCCCACAGATTGGAGAGGCTAGAACAATTATTGATGTATGTCTCAAAATAGGTTTATAACACTGTATATTAATTTTTTTAATTTTTAAACAAATAATTTTCCTGGAAAATTTGATTTGCAACTAAAATAATTGATGGATGTAATTGTATCAAGGTTCTGGATATTTCTTAAAATATATTTATTGAATATGTAAATGATAAACACTCAACTACTGAATACTCGTGCAAAACTTTCTGAGAGTGCAAGACTTTTTGATTTGCTTTTCATATTATGATCATGGAAGAATATAGAGAATAGCGACACAAATAAAAAATAAATTGGATAGCATGCAAAATGGCTCACGAAAAGGAGAAGCTTCAAGTCAAGGTTGCTACCTCTACAGCAGACAAACGTGAAATTAAATATTATTTAATAAGCACACGAAACTCTATTAGAAATAAAATATCTTTGTTCAATTTGAATAGTGGTCTTCGTATTGTCGAAGCTCACATTTTAACTCCAAATGCCTGCCACGATGACGAAAATCTCTGCACTGCGGATGACATGATTTTGCTCATTGAAACGCATGGATGGTTGAACAGTAAACCAGTAAACATTATTTGCACCCAATCAGTGATCAAGTGTAGATAAGTAAGTCTGAGTAATTATATAAGTTAGGTAATCATATGAACCGTAAAACAGGGAAAGGGTAAACAAAAAAAGTTTGAATTCTTCAGCAGTGAATGTAAACTCCGTCCCTCACTGGATGCGCAGGTTAATGTGCCGTTGGTCAGTGATGCGATGGTACGGAGTGGCAGTCATAACACACGCCACGTAACGAGTTGTTATATCATACCAGTTACAGTTGCACGGTCTCTGGAAGTTTCTAATTGCCTCTCACTTGAGACCCATTATTGAAGTTAATGGGAAGTCGCAGAATTCAATGTAGAGCATCTTTTCGTGAAACAGTCGTCAGAAGTCGCAAATAAATGCGACTGAAGTCTTCGCTTTCGTTCTGGAAACCAAGACGAGAAGATATTTTTTCTTGAGGCTTCTTCACCGAAAAAAACTTCTGTCGGGGGCAGCGAAAAGACCAAGTTCTTGAGTTCAGAACAACCGAGTAATTAGCGAAAGAAAGGACTAAGAAAACGGTGAAGGAATTTCGAATAAATGAAATTGGGATGAACGACCAAGGTAATTAGGGTCGTTAAAGATTGAGTTAGGATAACGATTATTCTTATTAATATATGAACGAAGTAAGGTAAAGACGACCGTAATGAAAGGAATACGAATACTACTCACAATGAACTCCGTCTTATCACTGCTTACCTGGAAGAACAAGCAGAAGCAGACCCATTGGTAGTACTTGATATATCGCTTCTCGCCATCAGGCTTCGACATTTCAATGCCGGGATGAGCGACATCAATGCCAAGAGTTTTAGAGAACGCCGAAGGTATGGTGTAAGTCGAGTGAATCCAACAGTATGTGTTGATTATTTCTTCAGGAATTTCCTTGTTGTGAATGCAATCAATTGGGTTGCCCACATACTGTCTCGTTGTCACGATCATACTGAACGCCAGTAGGATCATGACGGTTATGCTGTAATGCAGTCGAAAAACTGATGAATCGATATGAACGTGGGAGACTTTGATGAAATTTTTCAAGCCTCTGAAGATGTCCAACATTGCGACGACTCTCTAAGCTTGACACAGTCACCGTCAAAATCTACTATCACGGAACTTGAGTCTCAGGCGAGAAATAAAAGTCACCACAGAAAAATAAGCGAACTCCTACTTTCTACAGATGGATGTCCTCGGTCCAAATCCGAGAAGAAATTAGTGAAAATATTTCTGGAAAACATCGAACACTTGCTAGTCTATGCTCCAAAAGTGTCCATTAGATATGTATGTCACTAATAGGTCATTCCAATCACATTCACAACATCCATATTAGTAGAGTTACCATGCACGATCCAGGCTACAGTATGACACCAAATAAAATAAAGTATTTCTCTTATAAGCAACAAAAATGTTTACAAACCGTGCATTTCAATGCCTTCTGTGCAAACCCAATCTCTACGAACGCATCAATGAAGCTTGCACTCGATCAATATTCTTTTTTTCTATGAGTTTTGCGGCTTTTGGTTAAACACGTCCTGTGGTTCAAGTTATTGTTGTGTATTTCATCTGGAGGTGATTTTCAAGCGAGGGGGTAGAGAAGCTTCATAAAATCAAACGGGACACTTTCCTTGGAGAGATGATCAAGTGAGAATTCAATTTGAAACTTAAAATGAGGCCAATTCTCAAAATTTTCTTCAAGTAAATATTGTGCTCACCACAAATTACTCCATGCACTCTGCCTTTCCGATCAATTCTCTGTCACATCTTTCACTGATCTGGAAAAAAGGCTTGTCTAGGGTAAAAAAATGATGCAGATTAATTTTAATGGCACTTGGGAAGTTTAATTGAAAAATGAACACAAAATTAACATAAATTTAGACACAAATAATGAACATGCAACAGCTTGATTAATGCCTGCAAGACATCAGACGCTAGTTCATGAATTACATCAAGCACATTAATCGGGTTGAGCACACCGAGGTTCAGCTGAATTGACAGTAGAAAGAAGGTCGAAAAATGTCCGAACAAATTTCTAGGTCTTTGAATCAATTGAAATCACCGCTATAAAATTAGAGTAAAAACAGAAACTAGCAATACCAATCGAACTCAGTTAAAACCATAACAACAGTTAACGCAGCATGACAGAAGTCGGTACCATACTAATCGATCATAAACGAAATGGTTTATCTCAGAAATGCGCCTTGCTACAATAGCATGATTTCTCACGTGACATCTAACAATTTATCTCACATACATTTAGAGATAGAAAGCGTCAATTTTGAAAGCATGATATTACGCAAGTGCTTGTTAGTAGTTCGAAATTTTAGTAATCTCACCACAAACAATAAGTGGGATATGATGGACAATTCCTATAATTTTGGCCGAAAGAATATTTACTTGTGAGTCTACTATGATAATACTAATAAATATTTAATGGAAGTGAAAAATACAGGTGATTTCTTGAACTTGCCACTTACATATTATGCAGACTACTTGAGAAAAACTCCACGGTAATACTTCGAAAGATTTCATTTACTCACCATACGTCAAATGCCACTCACGTGTTCATTATTTTTGGGAAAAATTTCGCGCATTGAGGCAATCTTTAATTTTCATGGCAGAAAAATTGCAACTGATCTCTTCGCAAACCGCCTCAGCTAACATTGTTCGTGTAGCGTCTGGCACTACATTGAGTTTAGGAGCTTGGCAACCGAAACCAATGGCTTAATACTGACCACGCACGGGACGGCAAGAATCGCAGCAAAGCGCTACACTCGCGGCATTGCGGCATACCTCGCATGCTTGCTCGCGCTGCTGTGCCCTCACACAAAAATGAGCTCCCTGATTTACGATTAACACTCATATGAGGGATGGTCCTATGGTTGTCAGTACTAACAGCTTTAGGATTTATGTTGAAGAGGTTTCATGGCGCCTTCAAAAGGGCATTGATTATGTCATACACGAAGCTCCAAAATCGAAGTACATTTTATCGAAAAGTCTAAGATTTCCTTTTATTCGCGATAAATAATTGTACACTTTCTCTTGTGATAATTAAATGATATTATTTATGCCGCTGGTCGAATTACAAGGCTCCCATAATGAAATTGTGTTTCTCTTATTTGGAAATTACAGATTAGGAAATTTCCATATCACCTATCTAAGTACGAAGTTCCCCAATCTTCAAAAAACGAAAAGGTGGAATCAATTCACCGCTGAAAAGCACAATCATCACACTTTTTCACGCTTAGGCTGAAGCACGATTTAACAATCGCTTACTGGCCAAGAGCTGCAGCCACGCGATTACTTGTATGTCCACTCGTAGACTTACCTGGAAGAACAGGCAGAAGCAGACCCACTGGTAGTACTTGACGTAGCGTCTCTCACCATCGGGTTTGGACATCTCAATTCCCGGATGTGCAACTTCGATTCCCTGAGTTTTAGAGAAAGCTGAAGGTATTGTGTACGTCGAGTGAATCCAACAGTATGTGTTGATGACGTCCTCAGGAATCTCTTTTGCGTGAATGCAATCGATGGGATTGCCTACATACTGTCGGGTTGTTACAATAAGGCTAAAGGCTAATAATATCATAACAGTTATGCTATAATGAAGGCGGAATACAGAAGAATCGATGTGTACATGTGAGACCTTGATAAAGTTTTTGAGACCCCGAAAAATATCCAACATTTTTGCGGTCGCTTGCTCGCTGTAGTAGCGACTTTTAAGCACAGGTCAGATCCACGCAATGAAATAGGGTCGTGACCAATTAGGCGTTTGATTAAACTTTCACCGAATTCATGGTATGAAGAATATTGGGAAAATTTATTATAGATAAAAATTTTCAAGCCAGGCCAATTGGGTACACACGTAAAAGATATCGACTCACAACATCCAATTGTTGAACCGTTTCCTAATAAGTTTCCACTGAGAATATTTTTTAGAGCATGTTAACTGAAAACGGTCCTCTTATCAAAGTGCTTCGTGCACATCATCTACCGCTCTGCTGGCACTGAAAAGCTTTTGTCCAGACAGGACCGGCCATCGAGAAATCTTCCCACTGGCCTGCAGGAAAAAGCAAAAGTGTCAGAAATTTTTCCTAGAATATAATTATTGAAAGGAACTCACACCTCAGCGCTCGATTCGATCACGGAACTTATCTGTCTTAGGGTAAAATGCGGTAACCCGCCGACGGTAGTAGCGTCAGAAGTTTGTCTTTTGCGCGTTGGCAACGCTTTACAACACTTAACATATCTCAAATGATAATATTCAAGCAATATGTATAAGTAAGTAAACACTGGTAAGGCGTCAGTATACAATCACAATAAGGCAAGCCTTCACTTCTGCAAGGATAGGTCCACCATCATCACGTCTGAATGTGTGTAGTCGCTATTGTCGCTATTTTGGTTCAACTGAAACTTTTCACCAGTAGAGTTGAAACTTCGAGGAATTGCAAGGAAATAAATTGAAAACATTCAACAATGATCGAACATATCAATACTTAACATATCATTCTAATTTTAAGTTGGATAATCGCTTGATCTTTCGATCTCTTCACGCTAAATTAATGCCTGGCAAATGAATTTTACGTGAGTTTTAATGTTTAAAAGTTTGGTAAATAAAGATAATCTTGAAAACTGGCCACATGGAATTGTGTTTATCAAGATAAAATAAGAAAATTTGACTGAATTTTAAGTTTTTCTCCTAGTGCTTTTATCACAGATAAAGCTGATAGCAGCTGAAGAAGTCAAAGAATGACGACATGGCCTGGGGAACACTAGCTTGGACGATCACTGGATGACTTTTGGCGTTCCTTTAGGGGTAAAATTTTTCCCTGATCAATGAAACTGATTCACTAGATTTACCAAGAGCACCGAAACGTCATCAGATTATTCTAACTGTTTTATCTTACCAAGCGAACTGATTTATCTGATAGCCACGCGGTCAGCCACTGTTATCTCTTTAATCAACGATCCCAGTCGCTTAAACTCCCACCAAAACCTTCACGAAACTTCTATCCATGAGCAGCCAGAGGCTACAGCATCATTCACTGGCGTTTACACTGATGGCGACATGGAAGAGTGTGCGCATTAGGCCTTCTCCTCTCACACTCCTACGCCTCCGTCACAGATCGCTTTCAGGTGCCAACTGGACTTGCAGTACAGAGAACTGCTACCGCTGCTGCCGCTGCTGCTGCTCGTGTCGGTCTCCGTGTGTAGGCAGAGCAGTCCTGTGCGCGTGAGGAAACGGGGGGCGGCCGAAGGAAAAAGAGGGAAATAACCATCCGACTTCAAGCCCAAAAAAATCTACGTAGGAAATCTGATAAACGCGTTTCTGTTCCCACTAAAATTGCTGGGCTGGCAATGTCTCAGGGTGAGTCTACCTGCATGAGGTTTTCTGCTGGCCACTTGGGAGAAGATTTTCCGATTGAGTAATCAGTATATTGAGAGCATTGAAATTTTGCTATGATAGTGCAATGAAAAAATGATCATGTCTGATAAATGCGCATAAAGATCGTCTGGATGAATGAAAATGTGTGTGCGGATAACCGGCAAAAGATATTTCGTTGCATTTTTTGTGCCTTTTGCACAAAAAATGCTTTTTCTGCACAAAAAATGTTTCTCTGCTTTTTTTGAAGTTCTTCCAATTGATACATCACGGAATCATTTTTTCACGTAGTATGAGTAACACTCATCGCATGAATAAATGCTCATATAAATTGAAAACCTAAAATTGTGCATTGAAATGAACGTCTGGGCAAAACTATGAGTAGTTAAATATGTTTCATTAGGCATACATGCTCATTTTGACGTGGAGAAGACACGTGAATATCAGCTTAAGCTACAGCATTTAAAGATCTGGCATATTATAAAAATTGGCGAGTAATTATGAGAATTCCCAATGAAAAATTAAAAAATCCTCAGAAATGTTTGAGAGCTGCGATGTTCTTTCATGGTTAGCACAAAGTTCTATGCGGAGAATTTCTCTTATGGTGATAAAGTATGCGTTTAATGACATTGTTCTACTGCATCCTCTAGTGCAGGACTTGCCTGTGTAGCCTCATTGATCACAATGCGGAACTGCTATACGGCAACATTGCTTGGCCAGATAGAGCCCCAAGCTTCATACACCTGACTACCATAATCTTTATTGTTGAAATTATGTTAAATAAGTACTTTGAGTGCAAGTGTTTTGGAAGTTTTTGCACATAAGCGGAGGGTTTTTTCTCTAACACATGAATATTCGTCATTATCGTCGATGTTTTCCACCTAAAATAGGCACTGGCAAATGGCAAAAATTATTGGAAAAATCCGATAAAAATTCAATTTGCGGTATATATAACGGTTAATTTGTCGTGTTGAGTTTAGCATGGAAACTTGACGGCTGAACTTGAAACTTAGCAGCTTACCGAACTTGCCGACGCTCAACACGGTAAGTTGACGTCTGTATACTTAGTACAGTACCGATAAGAATATAATATTATAATAATTTATATTTTATTCCGTTAATTTCGTATTACAAAATGTCGTCAGAATTAGAATTGTATTTTTCTATCGAATTCGAATTGTACTTTTTTCTATTGAAAAATTTATGTCTTGACATTATGCTATTGAAAACGAAATTTAGATGTCCTGCTAACTTTTTCGAGCGATGAAAAATATCTATAAACAACCATCAAGAAACGATTTAATAAACAAATAGAATTCGTGGATCAGTGTTTGCGTGATACCTGCCGATTAGTACTCATCCGCGATATAATGAAAGGCATCCATGATACGCATTTGCAGTGAGTAAAGATAACATGACAGCCAAAAATAGGGCTTAACGAAAGTACATGCCAAGCAGATGGATATCATTGACATGGTGTGATGGATAGGAAAAAAACGAGGCTGTTTTAAAGCGTTCATCGTGGAGGTTTCGATGGCCACGCCCATGTTACCACTCTCTCTATTTCCTTTGCTCTCTCTCTAGCTCTTTCTCACTATTTCTAAGTGAGCTCTCTCTCAGACTTCTTTTTTTAAACGCTTTACACAAGTTACAATATCGAAATTAAATTAAAAGTAGACCAGCACATGTCAACGGAGAATCCTAACCGTAGCTAGTGTCGGAGGTGTGAAATTAAATATTATTCGCGTGGATTATCTGAATTATTCTACATCTGCTCAATCCGTGCCACAAATTTGTGCTCTCGTCGCTCTTAAAGGGCTGCTCTCTCAAAGCTTCGCTCGATGACGTCATCGATGCTACTCGCAACGCTCGCTCTTTTTGCTCTCCCCTCGCACGCGCTGTTTTGCAGCTGCCACGAACTCAGGCGTTAATTTTGTCCTTAGATTCGCAACTGCCACGATCAAGGGTCTCAATTTTGTCCTTAGATTCGCAACTGCCACGATCAAGGGCCTCAATTTGTCCTTAGGTTTGCCACCGCTGTACGATTTTAAGCGTCGATTTTTTCCTTGGATTCATATAGACACAAAATTTCCTCACCTGCCCCCGACTCGCTGATTGAGACTCACGCACGAGTTCATAAGGCAATTAATGCGTCATTCCAATGCTCGAAAGGAAAATTTTATAATAACCTTTAAATTTTTATTTTTAGGTGCATTCATCATAATTAATCAGTATTTAAAATTTAATGAACTTGAGCAAAATATCTAAAAATTGTTGATAAGTGAAAGTGAATTGTATAGTTTCTCTCTCGTTAAAGCTTTTTGATTTTTAAAATTATTACGTACGTTTAGAAACTCTTACTTATATAAAAGTTTATTTTAAATTCCGATCGCTTGTTCATGGAGTTGGTTGGAAATTGAACTTTTTAAAAACACGAAATTGAATGCCAAGAGTTTTAGAGAACGCCGAAGGTATGGTGTAAGTCGAGTGAATCCAACAGTATGTGTTGATTATTTCTTCAGGAATTTCCTTGTTGTGAATGCAATCAATTGGGTTGCCCACATACTGTGGGCAACCCACTCCATGTTGGTTGCCCACAATCACGAGATAAGTTAGAATAGTTTCATAAAACTGATATTTTTCAAAGCTAAATCAAATTACAATCTTATTATGGAGCCTCAGGTGACGCTAGCAAATATTATCTGGAAATAACAAATGCTCATTATCGGTGCTCATTAGTGTTCCATTATTTGTTTGTCTTTGGTGGCCGATTGATTAAGATTCAAATAATATTGAAATATTGTTATAATCAGTCGATTCATTTTTTATTACAAAAAAACTATAAATATATGGAAAAACTTGGTTTAGTCGAATGATCGAATCATGTGAAACAAATAATTCAATCGATATCGATTAGAGGCTAAAAATGCATAAAGAAACTAAAAAAATAAAATTTATTTATATTGAGGTATATATAAATCAGTCGCCCAAATTATAATTATTAGAATAAAAAAATAATTGAAGCAAAGATAAAACTCACTACTGCATAGACCTTTGCTTCTTTGTTTAAATTTACTTGCCTGGTAAATTAAAGATTATACGGCATTATATATAAAAGCATCATAAAGTGTTCACAGGGCCATGCGCGACTGCGTAACGTAGTAACCGCAATAAATGAATACATTTTCATAAACATATTAAGGATTTATAAGGGCTCAGCAGTAGCTTGAGTTACGTCTCTAGTTTGAAGCTTGATTCTAACGAAAGTTATTCCTCAGATCAAATGAATATAAAAATCCTTC